CTCCTGGTTCAGGGGCCTTCAGACTTGGACTGAAACTATATCATTGGCTTTTCGGGGTGTCCAGCTTGTTGACTGCAGATCCTGGGACTTGTTAGCTTCTATAATCACATGAGCATTATAATAATAAATCCTTATAATAATCAATTCCCTATATTAAATCTAGTAAATAATAATCTAGTAAAAGTAATAATCTAGTAAACAATAAATCTAGTAAAAATATATATACACACGTATATTTATACACACATGTGCATGCATGTGTGTGTGTGTGTGTGTGTGCATGTTTGTATAATTGGTTCTGCCTCTTTGGAAAGCTGTGACTAATACAGATTTATATCACAAGCTTCTGTTTTACTTCTGATGCTGCTGGTGATCTTTGGGTAGCAAAGGTATGAAACAGAGAATTTTCTCCTACTCCATTTTAAATTTAGTGTTTAATGCAAATAAGACTATACGTAATCTGTATACCTCTGCCACTTTCTTTTTCTTAACCTGAATGTAAGAATCCTCTATAATGCTCTAAGGCCAAAGAATTATGTCATTGTTTTTAATCTGACCACACAATTTAAAACAAACAAATAATGATTGGAGTCAATGCGTGATAATGGTTTTTGGAAAACTGGAATTGATCCACACATTCATGTGAATGCACAAAATAATCCTGAAACAAAGTCATGTTTGTTTATTCTCATGTATCATTATATATACTTTTCAAAAGTTGCTACTCTGCATAGGTGAACCTTTTATATTACAAAATATCTGCTGCATTAGCTAATTAATGAGGTCATTGACTAATTTTCAAAATGAGTCTTATTAAAATGCCTTAGTTTTTATTAATTGCCTGGACTCCTAAAAAAAGAGTAATTGAAAATTTAAGGCCGGGCGTGGTGGCTCAAGCCTGTAATCCCAGCACTTTGGGAGGCCGAGACGGGCGGATCACGAGGTCAGGAGATCGAGACCCATCCTGGCTAACACGGTGAAACCCCGTCTCTACTAAAAAATACAAAAAACTAGCCGGGCGCGGTGGCGGGCGCCTGTAGTCCCAACTACTCGGGAGGCTGAGGCAGGAGAATGGCGTGAACCCGGGAGGCGGAGCTTGCAGTGAGCTGAGATCCGGCCACTGCACTCCAGCCTGGGCGGCAGAGCCAGACTCTGTCTCAAAAAAAAAAAAAAAAAAAAAAAAAAAGAAAATTTAATTACGTCAGTGCTTTTCTTCAAATAACTGAAGCTTATTGAACTTTAAATGTTCAAACATTTAAGCATCCATTGAAATAGCAATAGCTATAAACAATGTGCAGTTCTAAATACTAATTAAACAAACTCTAAATCACCATAAAACTAAGCTGAATTTTAAGTAACTCTTATGTTGTAAGTGCTCTGTTCCGCTCATATACAAGGAAGATTAACCCCTTCAATTCTGACCACTTCTGCAGCCTTGTGGGCATCTCTCAAAATGCTGTGGCTGCTGTTGAACCACTTTCTTCTTATACTTGGACCAAAAAAGAGAGACTAATTAGACAACCTGGAACACGTTGCTAATGCCACATTAGTACTCTTGGAACCTTTTTTTAAAAAGAAACTGAGAATATACAGACATAAATTTGTAGATTTTATGTTTTGTGTCAAAACATACTTGCTTTCTTTTGTAAAAATAATGTTTGTTAGGTTTTACTTTTAATTTAATATTTTTGGAGATAGAGTCTCTCTTTGTTGCCCAGGCAGGAGTGCAGTGGCACAACCTTGGCTCACTGCAACCTCCGCCTCCCAGGTTCAAGCTTTTCTCCTGTCTCAGCTTCCTGAGTAGCTGGCATAACAGGTATCCACCACCATGCCTGGCTAATATTTGTATTTTTTGGTAGAGATGGGGTTTCACCATGTTGACCAGGCTGGTCTCAAACTCCTGACCTCAAGTGATCTGCCCGCCTCAGCCTCCCAAAGTGCTGAGATTACAGGTGTAAGCCACCACACCTGGCTAGGTTTTAATTTTAAATACTCAAAGTATAAATTTCACCAACCAAATACATCCTATAAACATTTTAAAAAATTGATATGGTTCAATACTAGCCTGACCAACATGGAGAAACCCTGTCTCTACTAAAAATACAAAATTAGCTGGGCGTGGTGGCACATGCCTGCCATCCCAGCTACTCGGGAGGCTGAGCCAGGAGAATCACTTGAACCCAGGAGGCAGAGGTTGCTGTGAGCAGAGATTGCACCATTGCACTGAAGCCTGGACAACAAGAGCGAAACTCTGTGTCAAAAAAAAAAAAAAAAAAAATTGATATAACCTTCTACTTTCAACTGAGATAGCATAATTGACACCAGACCGGGTCTCCTGTAAGAAACCAGAAAACAGGACTAAATATATGAGGAAACTGTTTTCAAGCATTGGATTATGGGATTTTAGACAGTGTAATTATGAGAGAAGTCTTTCTATTTTGAAGCAGTAACTAGATTCTGGTTCTGGAAGGAGAACCTAAAAAAAGTAGCTGGGCACTGCAGCTTCCACCTGTAATCCCAGCACTTTGGGAGGCCCAGGCAGGTGGATCACCTGAAGGTCAGGCGTTCGAGACTAATCTGGCCAACATGGTGAAACCCTGTCTCTACTAAAAATATTAAAAAATTAGCTGGGCGTGGTGGTGGGCACCTGTAATGGCAGCTACTTGGGAGGCAATTGCTTGAACTGGGGAGGCAGAGGTTGTGATGAACCGAGATTGCTCCATTGTACTCCAGCCTGGGCAAAACAAGAGTGAAACTTCAAAAAAAAAAAAAAAATGCACAGCAGTTTTGCTGAGATGAAGCAATAGAGATTGGAGTTTGGAGGTGGTTAGAACTGGGAGGGAAGAGTTTCAGAGAGGAGGAGCTATGCAAAGAAAGAGCTCCATAATTCTTGATTTTTGACTGAATACTGGGCTGCACATACATAAAGGATAAACATATGAAGCTGCTCTCATAACATTTAGAGACATTTGCATTCTGACCAACTCAAGTGGAGAAATCTTGTGGGACAATAGAGCATTTAGTAGAGCTCCAAGAAAGGCTATGCATAAGAATAAGCAAAGCCAGGCACAGCCTAGAATAAAGGCTACTTTAGATATCACTTACCTGACGAAGCTTAACAACAAGCTCTGATATGATGAAACTGATCTGCAAGTAACTAAATTGTAGAAGGACGATATGCAGACAAAATCACGCAGACACTGGGTTAAAGAAGGAAGTGGCTTTATTTGGCTGGGAGCGTAGGCAGACTTGCATCTTAAGAACCGAGCTCCCTAAAAAAGAAGTTCTTGGCTCTTTTAAGGGCTTACAACACTAAGGGGTCCATGTGAAAGGGTCATGATAGATCAAGCAAATGTGGGAGACGTAACTAGGAGCTACATGTGTTAGATAACAGAACAGAAAGTTTTGCGATGCTTCCTCATACAATGTCTGGAATTTACAGATAACACAAGTAGTTTAGGTCAGGGTTTGATTTTGTAAATATATTCTTTAACTACTAGGCCCAGGTGGTGGCTTCAGGCCATCTGGCTGTTTATCTGATTTTTGTTTCTTTTTAACTTTTTGCTTTCTTCCTTTCTTCACCTCTTATAAACTAGGCAAGGCTGGGGGGTGGGGGAAGCGGGAGAAGTGGTGGTCTCCTACCTCATTTCCCCCCTTTGAGACTCTCACTTATTAGGGGGAGTTCTCACTTTCATCTTCACTTTTTCAGTGTCTCTGCAAGACACAGTGATAGTGATTCATGTAATACACTAGTGTTGAAGTTTTCTGAGGAACCAAAGTAGCAACAAAAGCTTTTATCATTTGTAGGAGCAAGGGTAAAACACAAGGGAGCAGCAAGCAAGTTCTTATTACTAGCAATAAACTTACAGTGAGGGTTTTCAATTCTCCCATAGCTGGAAACCATTTTTCAAATAAAGACTTATGATTAAACCTGTGCCAAACCTGAACAGACACGTGTGCCAACTTTAGCATGTCCCTGATTATATTATGACCACCTGTCCTTGTCCTTGATCATCTATTTTCAGACAGCAATTGGTTAAGTTGAATTTTCCACAGACCCCTTATTCAGCTGAGAGCAAATAGTCCAATGCAAGTCTATTTTGATACATGGCATTTTTTTACTTGGGCTTTCTGCTAGGCAAAAACAGTCGAACCTGGGCCAGGTTTATTAGTGATTATTTTTAAGACAGCCTGAAACCACATGATCTGATTGAGCACGTATATGAGGGTTTGGTTCCCAAAACTAGAAGTTTTTAAGAGCTAGACAATTGAAATTGTGGGAGACTGTTGGGGAAAAGAGATAAAGTTATCTTGAGGCGTGAAAATTTTGCTTCTTAACTCTACTAGCCTCTTATGTTAGTCCTTCCAAAAACATAACATGAGGAAATGCATAGGCTGCTGACAAAGTTTTCAGCAAGCTGAGTAAATAGGTTTTTGGCTCAGCCCATTAAGAAGCTGGGACCACAAGGACTGTGCCACCACGCCAGGCTAATTTTGGTATCATTTGTGGAGACGGGGTTTCTCCATTTAGCCCAGGCTCGTCTCCACCTCCTGGATTTGAGCGATCTGCTCTCCTCGGCCTCCCAAAGGAGGATGGCTCACGATCACAGGATCATGCCCAGCCCTTTCTTTAAAACAAAACAACAGCAAACACAACCACAAACATTTTAAGGAGTTGCAGTTATCAGTGTCAGCTAACAGATTGACAGTTTGTGTCTAAGAAGTCCTTATGTACTCGATGATTTCAAAAGAAAGAAAAAAAGGGAATCTCACATCCTATACCTTATTTATGATTGCAACTAGGGCGTTATTTAAAAAACCATCAGTGAACAACCAAACAAGAGTTGATCCAAATGTTTTCCCATCTTCTGAATTCTGAGGTGGCCTCCAAGCAGGGAGGCAGTGGCTGGGTGTGGGAAGCAAAATCACAGGGCCAGCACTTGACACCTGCAGAATGCAGAGGCTCAACTTTGCACCAAGCCAAAGGTTCTGCAGTCCACTGGAAGTTTCTTTCCCCAACCCGCATTGACTTTGCATTGTTCCTCCTCCCCCCAGATTTTAACCCTAAGGCAAGTCCTGAGTTTATCTTCGGGAGAATCTCCTCTTGTAGTCTCGAATTGCCTTGGCCATCAGCGGGGCCACTTTCTTGGCAGCCGGTTTCCGGGTTTTGGCGGGCGCCGGGCGCTCATTGCTGCTGCTCAGGCAGGGGTTGGCCCTCTTCTCAGGGAGCCGGTGAAGGACGCTGCTGCTGCTGCTGCTGCTGCTGCTGCTGCTGCTGCTGCTGCTGCTGCTGCTGCTGCTCGTGCCGCTGCTGCCACTGCTGCCGCCGTGGCCGCCGTCCCCGCCGCCCACCAGGCCGCCACCGCCCCTATCGCCACCGCCCACGCCGCCCCGGCTGGAGGGAACGTGGCTGCTGCCCGCGGCTTTGGCGGCTGGCTTGATCTCTCCCTCTTCGGGGTCAGCGGCTCCTGCAGACTTCTCTTGCCTCCTTGAAGCATCATAAGGCGTCTTGGCCCCAGAGATGAAACAGATCATCTTTGTCTGTCGGCGGATGGGTTTGTTTTCACGTGCAGATCGGATTTTCGTGGTGACTGCTCGCAGCCGCTGCTCTCGGGAGTCCCGAAGCCGCAGATACAGCTCCCGCCAAGACTCGTGCTCCTGTGGCTTTTCTTCCTTGAAGTCCCGGAGACAATGAATCCTCCATAATTCATCTGTGTCCCCAGCGAGTGCGTGATTGTATTTCTCTCTGCGATACAGCTGATCAGGCGTCCACCCTTCCGGAAGGGGTTCGAGAACCGAGTAGGGGACCCCTCCCACGTCGCCGACGGCCTCCGGATTGTGTCTAAGCCCCCGGATGCACTGCTGGCGCAGCGTCAGCACCTGGGGCTGGCAGGCAGGCCTGGAGCCCGAGTACACTTGCATCTTAGCATTCACTCTGTGTCCAGTGAAGGCGGCTTCCTCCTGGAACGTTGGTGCGGAGAGTGCTTCTGGCTTTTCCTGGGAGGTCATGGCCTCAAAAGCGGAAAGTAGATCGTAGTTGGCCTGCATCCAGGCCTCTGAGGGGTCCCAGAGCTCTGAGAAGGCATGGCTGGGCACCGTTTTCGGCCCCGCGGAATCAGCGCCGGCCACCTGCAGCCTCTCTGACTGGCTTTCCTGGACAGGAGGCAATTTCTGCGCGGAAGCCCAGCGGGACGATTTGTGCCCCTTGCTGTGGCTCACAAGCGCTTCCCCCTGGGGTTGGCCCTGGCAGCCCTGACCCAGCGGAGGCCCGCCCTGAGCGGCGTGAGCGTGGCCTCTTCCGGGTTGCTTCCCGGGCACAGCCGGCTCAGGGCCCTCGGGCGTCGGGAGGGGAGCGGTGTGCAATGGAGGGGCCCGATGGGGGCCTGAATCAGCTGGGGCCCTTCTGGGGCGCTTTCTCTGGGCTCTGTGCTCGCGACTGGGAGACCTTCGGTGAGGTCTCTGGAGCCCCGGAGGTGTTCTGTGTGCTGTCCGTCTGTGCTCAGGACTGTCAGGTGGGCTCCTGGGGACCGTCCCGTTCTCTGGGAAGCCCCAGGCCTTTTCCTGGTCCTGAAGAGCCTCCCCATGGCGCTTTCGGGAAGCGCTCTCCTCGGGGTCCTGTGCATCAGGCCCGGTGTTTGGGTCCACAAGCACCAGCTTCTTCCACCGGGCCGCTAAGTCTCTGGCAAAGTCGCCCACGTGCTGGTGCTTCCGCAGGCGCTTCACCGTCTTTCTGATTCCAGTCTCCGCCAGGATGTCTGCCGTCATGGGCAAGGCGGAGAGTTTCTGCAAATATTTCTCTAGCTTTTTCGGGTCCGTCTTAGTGGCCAGACGCACCTGCAGCTTCTCCACTGCGTGCAGCGTAGTGGACCCTGCCGCCATCTCAGCAGAGCTGTGCAGGCCTGGCTGTCCCCGCGGTCGCGGCTCTGTCCTGGGGGCGGCAGGACACGAAGTCTGGGGTCGCGGGTCCTCGCTGCCCGGTTCGGGATGTGGAGTCGCAGCCTGGAGGGGGCTCGGTCCTCGGAGCAGCGGGGCGCTGGTCCTCGCAGACCGCAGGCCTCGGGCGTGGAGTCACGGCAACCTGGAGCAAGCTCAGTCCTCGGTGCAGCCGGCCACTTGGTCTGGAGCGCCGGTCCTTGCAGACAGCTGAGCAGGCCCGCTTCTGGTCCTCGGGATGTGGAGCCACAGCCTGGAGTGACCTCTGCGGTGCGCCGTCCAAGGCCGAGTGGAGCTCCCGTGCCAGAGCCCGGCCTTATATAGCCAGCCCCAGGCCCACCCAGGGCTGAAGCCCTGACCGCCCTTGGCCCCTGGGCTACCCCGCCCCGATACGTAATCATTGCGTCAGCAAAATGCGGCCAATCAGGACGGTCCACGTCAGGTGGCCTGCTGTGCCCCATAATTTGTTTAGGTTAATTTCAGCCTGGACACACCCCACTGAGTTCTACCGTTGGCCCTCCGTGTTCGCAGGTTCCACGTCTGTGGATTCCAAAAGACACATGACTGAATCTTCTTGGGAGTAAAACGGAAAATAACAACGCCGCAAGACAAAATGGTAGAAAGAAGAACCCACAGAGGATAACAACCCTTTACCTAGGATTGACGTGGCGTGAGGGGACTTGCCAACATTCGTAGAAAAGTGGGATTAAGAGAGAAAAATGAAAAAGGTGTATTTTACTTCTCAACATCGGCTCCATCAAGTTCAATGCGCTTTTGGAAGCAGTGTCTTTTCCCCGCCCTCTAGCCCATCCCTCTAAAACCCCCAGGGTCCTGGGAATGTGACGATTTCCATGAAATCTTTTTTCCATCGTTAACTGAAGAAAACTGGGCGCTTTTTACAGATTTTCTAAGTCTAGGAAACAAAAAGAAGTCAGCAGGCGCCAAATCAGGACTGTAAGGTGGACGCCTCATGATTTCCCGCGGCAAGTCTTGCCCAGCTGCCCTTGTTGGGTGAAAGGCATGAGCAGGAACATTGTCGTGGTGGAGAAGAACTCTCTGGTGAGGACTGTTCTCGCTCCAGCTTTGGCGGCTGACTTTCTGAAAGCGCTCTCCTAGTGAGCAGATGTGATCACGGTTTGGCCCTCCAGAAAGTCAACCAGCCGAATCCCTCTGGCATCCCCCCCAAACGGTGGCCATGACCTCTGCTCTTGACTGCTCCTCTGTGGCTTTGAATGGAGCGCTGCCACCTCTTGGTAGCCACGGCCTCGTGCTTGATCTTCAGGATCCTGCCGGCAGAGCCACGTTTCCTCTCCTGTTAGCAGTCTTGGAGGAAACGCTTCAGGATCTTGCTCCCACCGGCTGTTTAAAATCTCCTCAGAAAGGCTTGCTCTGGCCTGCAGGTGATGTTGGTGCCACGGTTTGGGCAGCCGAATTCCACTCTAATCTTTCAGTCAGAATGAGGCAAACAGGACCATTTGAAATGTCTATGATGTCAGCTATTGTTTCTGCTGTCCATGGCGGTTTGGCTTACTTTTTAAATTCTCACATGACTTTTCTCTCTCTCTCTCTCTCTCTCTCTCTCTCTCTGTGTGTGTGTGAGAGAGAGAGAGTGTGTGTGTGTGTGTGTGTGTGTGTGTGTGTGTGTGTCTTCTAAAGAAGGAAAATGATTATAGCTTGAGAATCGGGGGATGAGGATTCAGGTGTTAAGGCTTTTTTGAGAATTACCCCTCCGTGGTATGTAGAGAAAGAGGGAAATGTGCTTGCCGTGTTTCCAGTCTTCCAGCTCCCTCACGAAGAGGACCCCAGCGCAATACTGGCAATGCTTCCAGAGCTCCCAGAATGAGGATTAGTTTGTAAATAGGTCGGAAGGGAATTGAACTTCCCTGGGTCAGTGTAGTAGTATACCAGCAGGATCCTTCGGTGGATTCTGAATTCTGTTTGGGGTAGGTTTATAGTTTGTGTGGGGTTTGTTTCCTTTGTGTCTTTTTGAGAGCGAGTGTCGCGGTGGGAGCAGTGATCTGCTACGGTTTGTCACGGTCTCCAGTCATGAATGAGTTTAGTGGGTGCGGCCGCTGTTTTCAGCAGTAGCGTGATTGTGGGGGCATCGAGGAGCTACGAGGGGCTAGAACTTGCTCCAATTGTTTCCTTGTGTTTTGAGTTGTATTTGCTTGTATCATGTTTGTTTTCCATCTTGGCAGGGGAAACGTTTTCCAGGAAGAAAGGTTGTTGCCAGTGGATTTGATTCCGAGGGACTGGGGTTTCTCGGTGGGAGTGGGGAGGGGCTGCAGGGTGATCGGTGGCTACTCCACCTCCAGAAAGAGCATGTGGCTTCTCCGCCTTGGGGAGGATGTTCTGCTGTCTTGTGAGGTTTGCAGGCCGCCTGAGATTCTCTCTTGAATTGCTGTCGAGAAATAGAGACTGGCATTGTCTCCGGCCCTTGCTGGGGGAGCTTTTCCGAGTTTTTGTTTTTAATTTTGAGACGGAGTTTTGCTTTTGTTGTCCAGGCTGGAGTGCAATGGTGGGATCTGGGCTCACTGCAGACTCCGCCTCCCGGGTTCAAGTGATTCTCCTGTCTCAGCCTCCTGAGTAGCTGGGATTACAGGCGCTCGCCGGCAAGCCTGAGCGTGTTTGGTATTTTTAGTAGAGACGGGATTTCCTCATATTGGTCAGGCTGGTCTCCAACTCCTGACCTCAGGTGACCCGCTGGCCCCGACCTCCCAAAGCGATGGGATTACAGGCGTGGGTCACCGTGCCCGGACTTGTCTGAGTTTTACACCGTCGCTGATTGGATCATGTCCCCTTCCCCGGAACGAATGCTTTTCTGTCTTCCTTAAGGGCAGTGTCTCTGTGGCTCCCTGTCCTGTCTCCATACGTGTCCTTCAGGCTTGAAGGCCTCTTCTCACTTGCACCTGCATCCACTCAGGTGCCTGCTTCCAGAAGCTAGCTTCCCAGCACCCATTCTGCTGACAGCCCAGGGCACAGGACTTTGATCTCTTGGACTGCCCTTGCTCGGTTTTGCCTTGTGGCTTAGGTCTTTGTGTCTTTCTCTCTGCCCCTCACTATTGGTACACCCATAAGAATGAGATATACGCAAGGGGGTCTGTGTGTGTGTGTGGGGGGGCGTGTGTGCGTGTGTGCGTGTGTGCGTGTGTGTGCGCTCGCGTGTGTCATATCTGGCACGCGGACCTGTGATTACCAGCCCGCGTGAGGCCAAGAAATGCCCTGAGTTGGAATGCAAACCTTCCCCGAAGCTTGCAGAAGCTCCTATGAGGTGAACTCGAGGTTGTTAACCTGGTCATCTCATGGTAATTAGAAAGTCTGATTGGCAGCTTTAGACTTCTTGATTCAGAACCTCAATAAGCTGATTAAGGTGTCGCCAACCTTTCATAGGGGTTCTGGGTGAAAAGATTGGGAATGATTGTATGCGGTGCTTAGTGAGACTATTTTGACTTCGCCATCGTACCAGTTATTAGCATTTATTCACGAAATCCGATAGTTCCTTTCTTCAAAGAAATAGCGGTTTTCTTTGAGACGTGCTCTGGTTCTGTCACCCAGGCTGGAGTGCAGTGGAATGAGGAAAGGTCACGGCAACCTCCGCTCGCCCAGCTCAGTCAATCCTGCCACCTCAGTCCTTTAAGAAGCTGGGACCAGAGGACCACAGGGGCCGTGCCACCACGCCAGGCTAATTGTGGTATCATTTGTGGAGACGGGGTTTCTCCATTTGGCCCAGGCTGGTCTCCACCCTGTGGGCTCAAGCCATCTGCCCTCCTCGGCCTCCCAAAGGAGGATGGCTCACGATTACAGGATCATGCCCGGCCGTTTCTTTAAAACAAAACAACAGCAACGAGAACCACAAAACATTTTGTGGAGTGGCAGTTATCAGTGCCAACTAACAGATTGAGAGTTTGTGTCTAAGAAGTCCTCATGTACTCGCTGATTTCAAAAGAAAGGAAAAACGGAAATCTCACATGTGGTACCTAGTTTATGATTGCAACTAGGTCGTTAATTAGAAAAAGATCAGTGGCCGGGCGCGGTGGCTCACGCCTGTAATCCCAGCACCTTGGGAGGCCGAGGCGGGCGGATCACGAGGTCAGGAGATCGAGACCATCCTGGCTCACACGGTGAAACCCCGTCTCTACTAAAAAATACAAAAACTTCGCGGGGCGTGGTGGTGCACGCCTGTAGTCCCAGCTACGGGGAGGCTGAGGCAGGGGAATGGCGTGAAGCCGGGAGGCAGAGCTTGCAGTGAGCTGAGACGGCACCACTGTACTCCAGCCTGGGCCACAGAGCGAGACTCCGTCTCAAAACAACAAAAAACAAAAAACGATCAGTGAACAGCCAAAGTAGAGTTGACCCGAATGCGTTCCCATCTTCTGAATTCTGAGGTGGCCTCCAAGCAGGGAGGCAGTGGCTGGGTGTGGGAGGCAAAATCACAGGGCCAGCACTTGACACCTGCAGAATGCAGAGGCTCAACTTTGCACCAAGCCAAAGGTTCTGGTGTCCACTGGAAGTTTCTTTCCCCAACCCGCATTGACTTTGCATTGTTCCTCCTCCCCCCAGATTTTAACCCTAAGGCAAGTCCTGAGTTTATCTTCGGGAGAATCTCCTCTTGTAGTCTCGAATTGCCTTGGCCATCAGCGGGGCCACTTTCTTGGCAGCCGGTTTCCGGGTTTTGGCGGCGGGCGCCGGGCGCTCATTGCTGCTGCTCAGGCAGGGGTTGGCCCTCTTCTCAGGGAGCCGGTGAAGGACGCTGCTGCTGCTGCTGCTGCTGCTGCTCGTGCTGCTGCTGCTGCTGCTGCTGCTGCTGCTGCTGCTGCTGCTGCTGCTCGTGCCGCTGCTGCCACTGCTGCCGCCGTGGCCGCCGTCCCCGCCGCCCACCAGGCCGCCACCGCCCCTATCGCCACCGCCCACGCCGCCCCGGCTGGAGGGAACGTGGCTGCTGCCCGCGGCTTTGGCGGCTGGCTTGATCTCTCCCTCTTCGGGGTCAGCGGCTCCTGCAGACTTCTCTTGCCTCCTTGAAGCATCATAAGGCGTCTTGGCCCCAGAGATGAAACAGATCATCTTTGTCTGTCGGCGGATGGGTTTGTTTTCACGTGCAGATCGGATTTTCGTGGTGACTGCTCGCAGCCGCTGCTCTCGGGAGTCCCGAAGCCGCAGATACAGCTCCCGCCAAGACTCGTGCTCCTGTGGCTTTTCTTCCTTGAAGTCCCGGAGACAATGAATCCTCCATAATTCATCTGTGTCCCCAGCGAGTGCGTGATTGTATTTCTCTCTGCGATACAGCTGATCAGGCGTCCACCCTTCCGGAAGGGGTTCGAGAACCGAGTAGGGGACCCCTCCCACGTCGCCGACGGCCTCCGGATTGTGTCTAAGCCCCCGGATGCACTGCTGGCGCAGCGTCAGCACCTGGGGCTGGCAGGCAGGCCTGGAGCCCGAGTACACTGCATCTTAGCATTCACTCTGTGTCCAGTGAAGGCGGCTTCCTCCTGGAACGTTGGTGCGGAGAGTGCTTCTGGCTTTTCCTGGGAGGTCATGGCCTCAAAAGCGGAAAGTAGATCGTAGTTGGCCTGCATCCAGGCCTCTGAGGGGTCCCAGAGCTCTGAGAAGGCATGGCTGGGCACCGTTTTCGGCCCCGCGGAATCAGCGCCGGCCACCTGCAGCCTCTCTGACTGGCTTTCCTGGACAGGAGGCAATTTCTGCGCGGAAGCCCAGCGGGACGATTTGTGCCCCTTGCTGTGGCTCACAAGCGCTTCCCCCTGGGGTTGGCCCTGGCAGCCCTGACCCAGCGGAGGCCCGCCCTGAGCGGCGTGAGCGTGGCCTCTTCCGGGTTGCTTCCCGGGCACAGCCGGCTCAGGGCCCTCGGGCGTCGGGAGGGGAGCGGTGTGCAATGGAGGGGCCCGATGGGGGCCTGAATCAGCTGGGGCCCTTCTGGGGCGCTTTCTCTGGGCTCTGTGCTCGCGACTGGGAGACCTTCGGTGAGGTCTCTGGAGCCCCGGAGGTGTTCTGTGTGCTGTCCGTCTGTGCTCAGGACTGTCAGGTGGGCTCCTGGGGACCGTCCCGTTCTCTGGGAAGCCCCAGGCCTTTTCCTGGTCCTGAAGAGCCTCCCCATGGCGCTTTCGGGAAGCGCTCTCCTCGGGGTCCTGTGCATCAGGCCCGGTGTTTGGGTCCACAAGCACCAGCTTCTTCCACCGGGCCGCTAAGTCTCTGGCAAAGTCGCCCACGTGCTGGTGCTTCCGCAGGCGCTTCACCGTCTTTCTGATTCCAGTCTCCGCCAGGATGTCTGCCGTCATGGGCAAGGCGGAGAGTTTCTGCAAATATTTCTCTAGCTTTTTCGGGTCCGTCTTAGTGGCCAGACGCACCTGCAGCTTCTCCACTGCGTGCAGCGTAGTGGACCCTGCCGCCATCTCAGCAGAGCTGTGCAGGCCTGGCTGTCCCCGCGGTCGCGGCTCTGTCCTGGGGGCGGCAGGACACGAAGTCTGGGGTCGCGGGTCCTCGCTGCCCGGTTCGGGATGTGGAGTCGCAGCCTGGAGGGGGCTCGGTCCTCGGAGCAGCGGGGCGCTGGTCCTCGCAGACCGCAGGCCTCGGGCGTGGAGTCACGGCAACCTGGAGCAAGCTCAGTCCTCGGTGCAGCCGGCCACTTGGTCTGGAGCGCCGGTCCTTGCAGACAGCTGAGCAGGCCCGCTTCTGGTCCTCGGGATGTGGAGCCACAGCCTGGAGTGACCTCTGCGGTGCGCCGTCCAAGGCCGAGTGGAGCTCCCGTGCCAGAGCCCGGCCTTATATAGCCAGCCCCAGGCCCACCCAGGGCTGAAGCCCTGACCGCCCTTGGCCCCTGGGCTACCCCGCCCCGATACGTAATCATTGCGTCAGCAAAATGCGGCCAATCAGGACGGTCCACGTCAGGTGGCCTGCTGTGCCCCATAATTTGTTTAGGTTAATTTCAGCCTGGACACACCCCACTGAGTTCTACCGTTGGCCCTCCGTGTTCGCAGGTTCCACGTCTGTGGATTCCAAAAGACACATGACTGAATCTTCTTGGGAGTAAAACGGAAAATAACAACGCCGCAAGACAAAATGGTAGAAAGAAGAACCCACAGAGGATAACAACCCTTTACCTAGGATTGACGTGGCGTGAGGGGACTTGCCAACATTCGTAGAAAAGTGGGATTAAGAGAGAAAAATGAAAAAGGTGTATTTTACTTCTCAACATCGGCTCCATCAAGTTCAATGCGCTTTTGGAAGCAGTGTCTTTTCCCCGCCCTCTAGCCCATCCCTCTAAAACCCCCAGGGTCCTGGGAATGTGACGATTTCCATGAAATCTTTTTTCCATCGTTAACTGAAGAAAACTGGGCGCTTTTTACAGATTTTCTAAGTCTAGGAAACAAAAAGAAGTCAGCAGGCGCCAAATCAGGACTGTAAGGTGGACGCCTCATGATTTCCCGCGGCAAGTCTTGCCCAGCTGCCCTTGTTGGGTGAAAGGCATGAGCAGGAACATTGTCGTGGTGGAGAAGAACTCTCTGGTGAGGACTGTTCTCGCTCCAGCTTTGGCGGCTGACTTTCTGAAAGCGCTCTCCTAGTGAGCAGATGTGATCACGGTTTGGCCCTCCAGAAAGTCAACCAGCCGAATCCCTCTGGCATCCCCCCCAAACGGTGGCCATGACCTCTGCTCTTGACTGCTCCTCTGTGGCTTTGAATGGAGCGCTGCCACCTCTTGGTAGCCACGGCCTCGTGCTTGATCTTCAGGATCCTGCCGGCAGAGCCACGTTTCCTCTCCTGTTAGCAGTCTTGGAGGAAACGCTTCAGGATCTTGCTCCCACCGGCTGTTTAAAATCTCCTCAGAAAGGCTTGCTCTGGCCTGCAGGTGATGTTGGTGCCACGGTTTGGGCAGCCGAATTCCACTCTAATCTTTCAGTCAGAATGAGGCAAACAGGACCATTTGAAATGTCTATGATGTCAGCTATTGTTTCTGCTGTCCATGGCGGTTTGGCTTACTTTTTAAATTCTCACATGACTTTTCTCTCTCTCTCTCTCTCTCTGTGTGTGTGTGTGTGTGTGTGTGTGTGTGTGTGTGTGTGTGTGTGTGTGTGTGTGTGTGTGTCTTCTAAGAAGGAAAATGATTATAGCCTGAGAATCGGGGGATGAGGATTCAGGTGTTAAGGCTTTTTTGAGAATTACCCCTCCTCGGTGTGTGGCCAAATATGTAAATGTGCTGTGTTTCCAGTCTTCCAGCTCCCTCACGAAGAGGACCCTAGTGCAATACTGGCAAAGCTGCCAATGTCCTAGAATGAGGATTATTTTAGTAGAGATGAGATTTTTTCATATTGGTCGTCGTGGTCTTGAACTCCTGACCTCATGTGATCCACCAGCCTCAACCTCCCAAAGTGCTGGGATAGAGGTGTGAAGCTCCCCACCCGGCCTTCTTTGAGTTTTGTATGGTCACTGATAGGATCAACTCCCTTTCCCTAGAACGAATGCTTCCCTGTCTTCCTTAAATGCAGTTTACTTGTTTCTCTGTTTCCTGGCTTTTTATCTGTGTGTGTGTGTCATAGCTGGCACACATTCTTTTGATTATCAGCCTGCGTGAGGCCAACAAATGCCCTCTGTTAAAATGTAAAGGTTCAATATAGCTTGCAGAAGCCCCTGTGATCTGAACTGCAGGTTGTTAACCTGGTCATCTCATGGTAATCAGAAAGTCTTATTGGCAGCTTTAGACTTTTTGATTCAGAATCTAAATAAACTGATTACGGTGTTTCCATTCCTTCATAGGGCTTATGGGTGAAAAGATTGTGAATTATTCTATGTGTTACTTCAGGAAACTATTTTTGCTTGACAAATTTACCAGTGATTACCATTCATTTATGAAATCTGATAGTTCCTGTTTCTAAGTAATAGCAGTTTTATTTGAGCCATGCTCTGGTTCGGTCTCCCAGTCTGGAGTGCAGTGGAATGATGAAAGGTCACTGCAACCTCTGCTTGCCCAGCTCAGGCGATCCTGCCACCTCAGCCCTTTAAGAAGCTGGGTCCACAGGGGTGTGCCACAATGCCAGGCTAATTTTGATATCTTTTTCAGAGGTGGGGTTTCCCTGTTTTGCCCAGGCTGGTCTTCACCTACTAGGATCAAGCGATTTGCTTTCTTTGGCCTCCCAAAGGAGGATGGGTCATGAATACAGGATCATGCCCAGCGTTTTATTAAAACAACAACAACAACGACAATAAAGAGTTTATGTATTTGGAGTTATCAGTGTCACCTAATGGCTTGTGAATTTTTGTCTAATAAGTTCTTATCTACTTGATGATTTCCAAAAAAAGAAAGGAAAAAGGGAATCTCACATCTTTTTCCTTATTTATGATTACAACTAGGGTGTTATTTTAAAAACGATCAGTGAACAACCAAAAGATAATTGTTCCGAATGTGTTCATATCTTCTGAATTCTGAGGTGTCCTCCAGGCTGGGAGGTAGTGGTTGGGTGTGGGAGGTAAAATCACAGGTCCAGCACGTGACACCTACAGAATTCAAAGGCTCAACTTTGCACCAAGCTAAAGGTTCTGGTGTCCATTGGAAGTTTCATTCCCCAACCCGCATTGACTTTGCATTGGTCCTCCTCCCTCCAGATTTTACCTGCAAGGCAAGTCCTGAGTTCATCGTGGGGAGAATCTTTTCTTGTAGTCTCGAATTGCCTTGGCCATCAACGGGGCCACTTTCTTGGCAGCCTGTTTCCGAGTTTTGGCCGCGAGCATCACGCGCTCATTGCTGCTGCTTAGGCAGGGGTTGGCCCTCTTCTCAGGGAGCTGGTGAAGGACATTGCTGCTGCTGCTGTCTCTGCCACCACTGTCACTGCCCCTGCTGGAGGGAACGTGGCTGCTTACCCCAGGCTTTGGGGCTAGCTTGAGCTCTCCATTTTCAGGTTCAGCAGCTCCTGCAGACTTATCTTGCCTCCTTGAAGCATCATAAGGCGTCTTGGCCACAGAGTTGAAATAGATCATCTTTGCCTCTCTGCTGTTGGGGTTGTTTTCACGTGCAGATCGGATATTTGCTGTCAGTACTCGTAGTCGCTGCTCTCGGGTGTCCTGAAGCCGCAGGCACAGCTCCCGCCAAGACTCTTGCTCCTGTGGCTTTCCTTCCTTGAAGTCCTGGAGACAATGAATCCTCCATAATTCATCTGTGTCCCCAGCGAGTGCGTGATTGTATTTCTCTCTGCGATACAGCTGATCAGGTGTCCACCCTTCCAGAACGGGTTCAAGATACCAGTAGGGGATTCCTTCCACATCGCTGAGGGTGTCGGGATTGTTTCTAAGGACCCGGATGCACTGCTGGCGCAGCGTCAGCACCTGGGGTTGACAGGCAGGCCTGGAGCCCGAGTACACCTGCATCTTAGCATTCACTCTGCCTCCAGTGAAAGCAGTTTCCTCCTGGAAGGTTGGTGCAGTGAGTGCTTCTGGCTTTGCCTGGGAGGTCATGGAGTCAGAATCCAATAGCGAATGGTAGTTGGCCTGCATCCAGGCCTCTGAGGGGTCCCAGAGCTCTGAGAAGGCATGGCTGGGCACCGTTTTCAGCCCTGCAGAATCAGCACCGGCTGCCTGCAGCCTCTCTGACTGGCTTTCCTCGAAAGGAAGCAATTTCTTAGCTGAATCCCAGGACACACGAGTGCCCTTTGAATCGTTTGCTTTCCTTTGTTTATCTCCAAGTGCAGTGGTGGAAGACTCCCCAGTCTTTTTCCTTTGCTTCTGCAACTGGTCATAAGTGTGGTATTTTTCAAATGACAGAGTGGGCTGCTCGAATTCCTCAGCCATATCTACCTCCTCCACCTCAGAGAGGGAGCTCATGGACCTTCTGCCCACATGAGCCGTTGGTGGCTTCCCCTCTTGAGTCTTTTGGTCGTTGGAAAGCTGCTCTTTCTCCTCAGAGGACAGGCGGTGTGTCCCATTTCCTGGGTACGGGCCATCTAGACTGGGCATCTTCTTGTTCAAGTGTCTGTGATGAGGCCTATTTGGGTGACCGTCTGGAGCCACCACCAAGGCGGGGACATGCTGGCTGCTGCCAGCTCGTCCCCCTTCCTTGTCCTTGGCGTCACCCGAGGACGGCCTGTCCCTGGCACTTTCCCGGAAGGGCATCCTTGGGGTTTCCTCTCTTAAGCGGGCCCAGGATGATTTCTCCCTGATCAAAGTAGGGGAGTGCCAATCGCCCTGGGCACACAAGGGGCATTTTTCCTGGTGGAACGATTTGTGTCCCTTGCTGTGGCTTACAAGCGCTTCCCCCTGGGGTTGGCCCTGGCAGCCCTGACCCAGCAGAGGCCCGCCCTGAGCGGCGTGAGCGTGGCCTCTTCCGGGTTGCTTCCCGGGCACAGCCGGCTCAGGGCCCTCGGGCGTCGGGAGGGGAGCGGTGTGCAATGGAGGGGCCCGATGGGGGCCTGAATCAGCTGGGGCCCTTCTGCGGCGCTTTCTCTGGGCTCTGTGCTCGCGACTGGAAGACCTTCTGTGAGGTCTCTGGAGTCCCGGAGGTGTTCTGTGTGCTGTCCGTCTGTGCTCAGGACTGTCAGGTGGGCTCCTGGGGACCTTCCCGTTCTCTGGGAAGCCCCAGGCCTTTTCCTGGTCCTGAAGAGCCTCCCCATAGCGCTTTCGGGAAGCGCTCTCCTCGGGGTCCTGTGCATCAGGCCCGGTGTTTGGGTCCACAAGCACCAGCTTCTTCCACCGGGCCGCTAAGTCTCTGGCAAAGTCGCCCACGTGCTGGTGCTTCCGCAGGCGCTTCACCGTCTTTCTGATTCCAGTCTCCGCCAGGATGTCTGCCGTCATGGGCAAGGCGGAGAGTTTCTGCAAATATTTCTCTAGCTTTTTCGGGTCCATCTTAGTGGTCAGATACACCTGCAGCTTCTCCACTGCGTGCAGCGTAATGGATCCTGCTGCCATCTCACCAGAGCTGTGCAGGCGTCACTGTCCTGGAGGTCTCGGCTCTTTCCTCGGGGCGGCGGGACACGAAGCCAGGCAGCGACCTCGGGATGTGGAGTCACAGCCTGGAGCGAGCTCGGTCCTCGAAGCAGCGGACCACTGGTTCCGGGTCGCTGGTCCTTGCAGACCGTAGGCCTCATGACGTGGAGTCACCACAGCCTGGAGCAAGCTCAGTCCTCAGTGCAGCGGGCCACTTGGTCTGGAACGCCGGTCCTTGCAGACCGCTGAGCAAGCCTGCTTCTAGTCCTCGGGATGTGGAGCCATAGCTGGAGTGACCTCTGCGGTTTGCAGTCCTACACGGAATGCAGCTCTGGTGCCAGAGCTGGGCCTTATATGGCCCACGGCAGGCCCACACTCACGGCTCTAGCCCTGACCCTCTTAGCTCCTGGGCTTCCCCGCCCCAATACGTACTCATGCCGTCAGCACAATGCAGACAATCGGGACGGTCCACGCCAGGTGGACTGCTGTGCCCCAGAGGTTGATTAGGTGAATTTCAGCCTCGACACACCCCACTGAGTTCTACCGTTGGCCTACCATTATATCAGTTTCCGTATCTGTGGATTCAAAAAAAAAGCAG